GTAAGGAGTTGCATACTGCCTGTAGCCCATTCATTGTCTATCCAAGCTCAAGTATTTTGATTATTATTATCTTGCAGAGACAGCGAGGCTGCCATTAAACCCGAGGTACAGTGACATGGGGAAGTTCACGAAACACACTTTTATCTAATAATGCACGTCAGTAATAAGATTAATCACTGACCAATCACAACTGACTTACACTCCTTGAATCAGACAGACAGTGACATTACAGCAAAATTGACCAATCAGTTTACTTGGACTGAACTTCTAACACTTAACTGACACCTCTTTACCATAAGACTCTAATGGTGACTTCTTCTCAAGTTCACAAAACGTCAGTCACTACTACTAAAACAGTTCCTCTCAGGATTATTCTCACCCGGACAGTCATACTATATAATCCAATGGTACTCCTTGGTTGAAACCATTTACTGTAAGATCAGTATCCTTTGAAGCCGTCACTTTCTTTACTGACCCACACATATTCTCCATGCCATGAAACAAAATAACAACTGTAAAGGAGTCCATGAAACTGATGAATAACCAATAAGTTCTGATGGCCAATAGCAATGTTTTCACTAATAGAATACTGGACTGCTGCGACACAAGTTGATCGCTTAATGCTGCTTTTTTTCTGTACACTATTCAAAGCCCAGTATTTTCTTATGCTTTTCCTTGAACTTCCACCTGAAAGGGAGCTTGCAACAATATGAATCAAAAGGGAAAAGGAGTGCACAAGAAACTTTTTTCTTTGGCCTATTCACAGCCAATATAATTGTTTTGCGGTTTACTTGGAATTTTTTTTTGTTTCACTGATTAAAATACAAAGAGAATGAACCTGTAAAAAAATTCTCTATTATGTGCAAGCACCAAGTTTTCAAACACACAAAATACATAAACTAAGTAAAGAAAGTTTGGTATAAAGAAGAACACTGACATAATCTCTTGTTTTAGGAATCTTCCTTTTTCACACCAATTACTCCCCAAGTGTCCAGCTATCAGACTGGGGAACGAATGCCAGTGTCCACAGTACAACTCTCTCAAGGAGGAGAGATGATGATCATTGGAGCCACGCCCAACCCCATCCCTCCTACAGTCTCTAAAACCAAGATGAAGAGGCGAGGAAAGGTTAAGAACTGGTCAAGACGAGATTTGTTACTCAAACAAAAGGAGATTATGGACAAGGTTTTACGAGTAGATGCCAGAATTGCCGATTTGAGGAACATATTTGATGGCATGGAAGAACCTCAGAGGTACTTAATCCTTATGTGCTCCATAAATGGAAAACACATCTACAAAATTGCCTTCAAACAATTTCAGCACAAGTGGGCCTCAAGAGATTTTACCAAAAAAAAAATTCCCATAAGAGGCTTTTGAAAAAAAATTCAAGTACCTTTTAAATTCCTTAATTCTCCCTCCCTTTATTAATGGTTTAGTTTTCAAGTCTCTCTTTTATCAAAATTCTGTCAGTTATTTTCTCCACAGTCAGCCTTAGCTTCTCCTTGTTCTATTTTCTATAACATCTATTTAATCAGAGTGTTCTTTATCTTGCTATTCAAGATATTCTGATCTCTCAATCTCAATTATCACTCCTTCATTTCCCTTATTGTTAATATTTATTTCTCCTCATTTATCAGACATAGAGGAATACCACAAACACTATCACAAAACTTTCCCTTGCAAACACACTCTGTTGCCCTACCCTCTCTAACAAATAGTTTTCCCCTATCGACACACTCTTTTGCCCAACCCTCCCTACCCCAAGTATTACAGATACAAGGAGCAGTTGGTCAATCTTCAATCAAGGTGGATGTCACAGGGGAGGCACCAAAAAGGGAAGAACAAAATGAGGCTACAAAGCTACCAGTAAGTTGAAATTTCAAATAGGTAATAATTCTTTTTTTTTTTTTAACAAAGAGGTTGCCATGAAATAATAAAGGCTTGGAGAATGGCAATGATAAAATCACAACATTTACCATAATAAGCCAGAGGTGTCACATCTGTACCACAGCAAACAAAATACCCACCAGTAACAATATGACTGATCTCTGGTGGGTAAAAAAAAGACACCATATATAACTTTAAAGATCTTTAATTTAAAAACCTTAAAAATTTTCCCGCAGATTATGAACAACTCTCTTTGGCAGAGGAGGCAGTCCATAGCAAAGTTTCCTTCACAAACTCTGCGCAAACCTTCAACACAACAACAAACAAAGCTACCTCTATTAAATATTGGTCACTTCCTAAAAGTTGAACTGTGATCAGGTCAATCAAAAGCTTTGAACCAAACACAACAGTAATACCAAAGAAAGTCAAAGGATTCAAATGAAAAAGATAGAAGTATTATCTATCTACCAACATGACTATTCAGAAGGCATCTGATTTACTCTCAAATTCAACAAAAACTAGAGAGTTTAGCAACTAACCAAAATTCAGTCCTACAGAAACATTGTATAAGGATGGATTCAAAATTCACAGGACTTTTGAGTTATAGTTGCCTCCATGTATGTGAAGGAAATAATTCAATCCATCAGTTATTGTGCTGCCAAATGGTATAGCTGGTTTAAAAATAACTGTAAATCTACCTTTGAGTTAAAAAAAGGACTAGAGTGGAACTTTACTATTCATATTACTAATAGTATTCAAAGAGTACGTCATACATCTGACAAAGTCTCATTCAGCCATGTAACTTTCTCTACCTTGATGTGAACAACACGTGATGAAGCTTCACCACCCAAATGTGAATAAACAAAGACTTTTCAAAGATGTTAGTGTTCTGTTAAGTTTCTTGTGTGTCTACTATTTGGGTCAGTATCAAACTTTTCTTTGAAAAAAAAAAACAAAACCATTGAATGAAGTCCTATGAGACATGCTAACTACAGCTTGATGTGCTTTTATTCTAAGTGCAGCTTCAACACAAAGAAAATATATTTTGCACTGCTGTACCACTGTTTACCGGTAGAAAACCAAAAAGAAAAATGAATGGGTCTTCTAGAGACTCTCTAGACTGACCTGATGTGTGAACTTTCTTACCCATCAATAATGAGAAATACATTTTCCTAACTGAGAGCCTCTTTCCAGCCTGGGCCTTGTTGTTTGACCCAAAATTAAATCCAATACTGAGCTTACAACATAAAAAGAGCCTATCATACCATAACAGTTACCACTATATTAGAACTAACTGGGAAATATTTCCACACAGCCCCATACAATCAGTAACACTTTTGAGGACAATAAAGCTGTGCTTCCTGAGATAAAAGAAAACTATGTGAATTCACTGTTTGATCACAAAATCTCGCGGTCACATTAAATGCGTTCTGAAATATATTGTTCTGGGGCAGAAAACTGACAGAAGTTTGTTATCTAATACAACCGAGAGGAAAACCTGTAAACACATGCTCACTGCGTCACAATGCAAATATTATTGAACAACCGTGAGGCAAAGCGTGACGTAGAGATGGAGAGGAGAGGAATTTGGCTTGTGCAGACCAAGATTTAGATTGTAGAATCTATATTGGAGAATTCTCAAACTGAAATTAGTCAGGTTTTAGTTTCCTGAGTGTGTGGTCTTAGGTCTCATTTTTCCAGACACCCGCATACATTCCTAAGATAGAGAAAAAGCTGGTAAAAAATAGATTGCCTTTGGAACAATTTTTTTTAGAATAGTAAGGGGTTATGCGGAAACCTTTCCATTAATTACACTGTAAAAAAATTCCCACTTCGGTCACAGAGCTCAGAAATCAAGTGTTAACAATCATTATCAAACGAAAAATGTTTGAAGCTCATTTCTCTAGTTTAATCATCGCTCTGTGAATTTAAAAATCATTACAAAACACAGTACACATCACAACAACTACACATAGTAACTACAATATCAACACATGCCCAATACACACAAAACAAAAACAAAACTGAACAAAACTACGCTGCACTTAACACAACACAGAATTGAAACACTTATCGCTTATCGGTATTCTTTACTCGTCACCGTGCTTTCAAAGAAACACTCAGATTTGACTAAGTAATGTCACCTCCTCGGCCTGCCGAGAAAAATTGAATGAGATATCCTTTACTAGCTATATATCAGCTACTTCGAGCTAACAGATGATGTGAAATGATACTTACCGCCATCTTGGAAGCCTCGTGTGTCGGTCCAGTCTCTCCGAGCAAGCATAAATTTGACGCCTGTCGAAATTAGTATTCGTCGCAACGAAGGCGCGGTTGTGTTTATTCATACGTCATTGATATTAAGAAACCGCTACTGTTTACATGTCGCGGCGGATATCAGAGACAGCGGACGCAGAGAGAATCAAAGGTATTGAAATTTATGAAATGTGGATTACAAAGTAAGAACCTTGTGCGTTGAATTATAATTAATGACATAAGTCAGCTGTTCAGAGCATTTAAATACGATTATAAGAGACACAAGAAGCCACTAATCAAGATCTTAGGTTAAAGTTCCGTAATGACGCTGAAACGTTGTTAATTTCTGATCCAGTGCTTATGTAAATCGGCCTTAAATTTAAATAAATAAAAGGACAGTGGCTTCTGAAAGCTTAAACATTCCAAAGAGTGAGATAATGTTCAGAGATTACCAGGGCTGTTAAGTCATGTCTCTGACAATCACTGGATTTCTTGTTCAATGTAATTAAATGCCTTGACATTTGACAGAAAGGTTAAGACGTACGTCGTTAACAGTATTCACTCCTTTGAAGATTTGTTTTAAAATCGTAATTCCCATTTTAGGAGCACATTATCGTCCCCTTCCTCCCCCCGCTCTTCACATTCCGAAGTAGGTACCCCTTCCCAAAGAAGAAATATGTTAAACCTGCTGCATTTGCATCAGCTAGTTGTTTTTCAACTTTTGAGCCCCGAGGGTAAGAAAGTTTCAAAATAGTTTGCGGTTTCATGAACGAGTAAGTTTTGAGTTTCGTAAGAACAGTGAAACATTTTGGTGAAAAACAATTTAGAAACAGCTGGAAAATTCTCCAGATGATACCTCTTTAGGACCAACATATCGAAGGAAAAACGACTTTCTGGATGATACTGAATTACGATTATACCGCAACCTCGTGCCCACTATCGTCTCGATTTCAAGGCCTCAGATTTCTCCCTCAAGAATTCACGGATCAAAACTGCAAAGAATGCATGCTAATTCTCTTAACAACAACGTGTTAGATTACGAAAGTGATTAGCACAATTAACAGTACTTAAAATTTTCTTTACAACAACCATCTAAAACCTCGGCCAAATGTTTGCCTTGCCTCAGGATGAGATATTTCTGTCCAGCATATCAGTTACAAGTCGGTAAAGAGATGGGTCAAATCAATCCAAATCCTTCGTAATCTTATGCTCGATGAGCAGTGGCGTGACACCTCGAACCATTGATATCCCAAGATTTGCATTTCATTCACTGCTTTCAAACTATTAAAAATATTTACCTCGCCTTGCCGTTTGCTGAGTTAATCCAGGCATGACTTCCTTTTCGAATTATTTCTCGGTTCTTCGAGCGTGACTGAGCCGTTATTGGTATGCAAATTCTGCTCAAATGGTTTATAGATTGGCTGTGCAACCTTTTGTTCGAAGTGGTCAGTCTTACGGTTCTCACGGGAGAAGCCTACCTATGTGTTACTATTAAATGCGGAGTGGCATAGAAAACACAAATGACTGTTCTTGTCGAAAGAAAATACAACCACATGCTATAACTTCCTCGTGATTGACAAACGTCGTAAATAACAGGTATTTTAACACTAAAACATCTCGCTGTTCGCGGTATAATTCAACTTAAACGCGCTTTTGTTGATACTAACTCAATGCTAATTATGCACAGGCGTCTAGTATTTGAAATTGCGTCTGTGGTGGTACGCAAATGAGAATTGTTGACAAACGTTTATGGCGTTTTACTCGCTTGTCACTGTTTGATGGTATGTGTTTATCTTGTGGCACAATTTGTTGACTTCTGGTTTATTAGTTTCGTTTGCGTTTCGAATCATTGGATCAGTATATCGAACAAACGATCGCGCGTCGCTCGTTTGTGGCTTCTCCGTGACATAATTCTTGTCATCTATCACGCGTGTACATACACGACCTTGGAACGTGAGCTATTTGCTTACGAAATAGTCACTCTACTTTCTGTTTTGTATTTCTGTAGCACTGTCAAGTTATTGAAGTACAATCTCCCAGTATGTCGGACTTTAAGAAAGCCCTGTCATCGAACCAAGGGTCGCTTTCTGGAAAGAATGATCGTGAAATTTCACATGATCCTGTCAAGGGCATTAACGACCCTGAAATAAGAAGAGCGAAAACAGATTATGTTTACAAGACATCTAATTCTGCGACTACAGAAGAAACGATTAGAGTTAAAGTCGAGGAGCTTCCGGTCGACGAAGATTTCAAAACACGATTCTTCGAGGCACAAGACAGGCTTGGAGAGCTTGAACAGGAGTTAAGAAATACTCGTGAAAAACTACGCAACCTCGAGAACGCCTGTGAAAATACCGAGGAGAAGATCGGCGTATTGAAAAACGCGGCATTTTCTTATCACAGGTCTTTCTCAGAGCATGAAGTGACGATCAAAACGGTTGTGGAGGAAAATAAGCTGTTAAAAATCACCATTGAAAAGTTTGAGGCGACAATTCGTGGTTACAAAGAGGAACAAGAGAAAGCCGACGAAATTAAAAGGGATAACGAAAATCTCAAAGATCAGCTTGATAAGGCGAGAAAGGGAAACGATGATTTAGTAGAGCAGCTCGATAAATTGCAGAAGGAGTACGACGATTTGCGTGACAACAACGGCGACGAAAAAGACAATATCTTGCTGGAAATGGAGTCCCTAAAGCTCAAATACGGAGAGATCGAAACGGAAAATGATAATCTACTGAAAGAGAAAGAAGAATTGCGGGTCGAAGTAGATGATCTTGAACGGCGACTGAAGGACTTGCAAATTAAATTGTCGGCCGATGACGAAGTTATCGAGGAAATGAAACAACAGATTGTGGAGTATCACGTGCAGATTCAGCAGTCAGAGGAAAACTGCAACAACAGCCGAACGAGAAATATCGAGCTTGAGAAAGAAATGTCCATTCTGCGAGGCCTTGTAACCGAGTTGGAAAGTAGCTTAAAGGCAGAGAAAGATAGCCGTGAAAGTTTGTTCCGCGAGGGCACCAACAGGCTCGATATTCAAAACAAGAAGATTACACAGCTGGAGATGAATCTCAAAGAGGTTTGCAAAGAAAAGGAACTTCTCTACCTCCAGTTTGTGGATAGTAAAAACAAAGCCGAGATGGACTCCAAGCAATGCACTAAGCAACTTAACGAAACCCATGTCCGTGCTGAACTATTCCGGAAAGAGGTGTCTGACAAGGAAAAGACGATTTCTTCACTGAAGGCTGAAAACGGAGAGTTGAGAGATGATATTGCTCTGCTACAGAAGCAATTAGAAGACCTTCAAGATCGCGATCTGTCGAAGTTTGCGGAGGACCTCGACAAGGCGGACGGAAATGATGACGACGAACTAACCAAATTAAGGGAAGAAAACGAAGAGATGACGCAAGAATTGGAGCAACTGAGAGATGAGGTGATTTCTTTACAGAGCGAACTGGCTGAGAGATACATAGAGGAAGAAAAACCTAGGGGCGGAGATTCAGATGAAATTGTGGTTAAGCACCTTCGAGTTGTTCAGAGAGTTCCACTGGCACCGAATGAGGATCTGAGTGATTCTGATGACTTTGAAGAGCATATAGTTGCGGTTGGAGAAACTCCTCAACTTGCTGCTGTTCCAAAGGAGTCTGGAGATTCGTGGTCCAGTCAAGACTACTCCAAATCGCAGATACAAGAACTCGAAGAGCTTCTGGAGCGCACTAAGAAAGAGAAAGAAAAAGTCGAAGAATGCTTAGAAGAGTCCGAAGAAAGAGCTAAGAAGACCACGGAGGAGCTGTCTAAGACCATCACGCAGCTAAATGATCGATGTGAAGAGATGAGAAAGGAGCTCATAGAGAAAGAAGCTGTAATAAATGAGCAACGAAAAGATCTTGCTCAGGATAAAAACACCATCAGTGACCTGGAGGAAAAACTACGAGAGCAAGAATACATCGAAGCGGAACTGGAAAAAGCAAGGAAGGAACTCTTAGAGCTAAAATCACAGGAGACCATCGAAGACTTGAGTGAAGAATATGAGAAATTAAAAGAGCAATACCAAAAGCTGATGGAAGATAAAAAGAAGTTGAAAGACAACAACGAAGATCTTCTTGAAAAGAAAGCAGACATTGAAGAGGAGCTAGAGGAAATGAAAGTTAAATTCGATAAAGGGAAAGAGATGTACAACACTCTGTGTGACGAGAATGATGACCTGAAGAAAGACAACGACGATCTTCAGAAACAAGTCGACAAACTAAGGGAAGAAGTGAAATATCTCGGTGATGAACTGAAAGAGGAAGAGGACTTGCACGTCACTGAGAAGGAAAAGCTGACCGGCAAGAACAAGGAACTAGGAGACAAGATCCGTCGATTGGAGGGAGAAATATCGGATTTAAAAGCCAAGTTGAGAAAAAAGGACGATGATGAGAACTGGAAGGAAAAGTTTGATGAGTTAAAGCGAGAGAAGAATTCCCTTCAAATCGAGAAGCAACGCCTGGAACGAAACTTGGAAAGAAACGACGATGAACATGAGCAAACTAAGACCAAGTACAACAAAGTTCGACGTGAACTCACCGATGTCCAAAGTGAGACCGCCATGTTGCGCCGACAACTATCGGAACTGAAGCTCTCCAAGGACTCTGGAGACCTGGAAAAGGAACTCAGGAAACTCAAGGAAACGCTACGCAAGAAAGAAGAAGAAAGCAAGAAACATCTAACGGAGCTTGAAGAGCTGAAGCGATCTTTGTTTCGTCAGACGAGTGAAGACGGTTGGCAGGAAAAGTTTGAATCTCTGAAACTCAAACTAGACGAAGTTGAAGACGAAAAGGATTCCTTGCAGAAAGAGAAGAATAATCTTCAAAATGATCTCCGAAAAGATTCAGAAAAACTCGCTGAGCTCGAGATAAAGCTGAGCCAGGCCAACATGGAGATAGAGGGGCTAAGCAAGGATTTCGACAAATCACATACAAGAATCACTCAACTGGAAATTGAGCTTCAACGATCTTCTAAACAGAAACAGCAAGCCGAAGAGCAAGCTAAATGGATCAAGAAGGAGCTGTTGACAAGAGAAGAGACAATTAGTAAACTAGGGAAAGAACTGAATGAAAAGATGGAGGACAGTGACAAAGATAACCAGATAATCGTACTCGAGAGAGAGATACAACTCCTTCAAAGCAGAATACCAGCGTCGGAAAAGGACGAATCTGTTCTACATAATCGTATCCGGTTCTTGGAAGACAGCGTCAAGGAAATTAAGGAAAAACTCGATGGAAAGACCGTTCAACTGGACAAATGTGAGAAGGAAAAGGAGAGCCTTAGTGTTCACGTTGTTGAACTTTCAAAAGAAATTCAGGTCCTTTACGAGCGATATCAGGCGAGTCGCACAGAAATCGAGAAACTCCGCGCTGGTCTTGTTGTGCTACCGGAAAAGACACCGGAAACCACGTCCCTAACTATTGATGTTGAAAGGAAACCCGAGGTGCAATTAGGTGTATTCGTACAAGAACGTGTTCGCAGTCGTGTTGTTACCCCCGGGCTTGGTCGTAGTACTTCCGAGCTGGAGATTTCCATCAGCCAGTTGCCAGGAACTGTTGTTATTGGAGAGCCTGTTGCAGTCACTGTGGACTATGGTTCAGAGGGAAACCCTCTGGTTAGTCACCCTGTGGAACTCACTGCATCCGAACCAGAAGATAACGATGAAGATAGCTTCTCTCACGAAGGTGACGATGAGGATGTTCCTCCTGTTGTTTACTCAGCCCCGCAAGTTGAAAGTGCCCCACAATTCAATTTCACATCTCCATCTACCGACCCAGAGCGAATTCTCGTGAGTGCTCAAGCCCTACCAAGGCCTCAGCTTCCTAAGAGTGTTGATCCAGAAAGGTTCCCGTTTCTCAAGGCTTCCGGAGTGCGTCTCAGTGGGGGAGCCTTTCAACCGGTACCCAGCCGAAATAACAATCAACCAGGGCAGACTCTACAGCAAGAACTATCAGATAAGGAGCTGACACCAGAGGGAAGATTTAGGGCATTCAGCAAAGAGGACCAGTTTAAATTGGATGGTCTCTTACACGCGCATGCGCACCATCATGACCCACCTGACGTATACAATGATGTATACAATCAGCCGCCTGAAAATGGTGTCGGCAATAACAGAGAGTATTATCCCGAGGAGCCAAATGCACGGGAAGAAAGATGGCCCGAACCCCCACCGTACGACTGGGAGGAACCACCACTGCAGCCCCCACGGGAGGCTTATTCTTACCAGAGTAGCCCTGGTGGGGAGTATCCTGACGACTTTGACGGTCAGGTGGAAAAATATCCAGATCCGCACAAAGTACCCCTGCGGAAACCGGAGGGCTCTTACAAAAGGAGAATTATAGGCGTCTATGACAATGACGGAACGCTCATCGGGTATCAAGACGTCTATGAAGAAGTAACCGATGAATACGCAGAGGAAATGAATGGAGGAGTAGTGCCTTACCCGGAACCCTACGAACACAGGGGGGTGCCACACCCATATGAACCTGAGCAACGTCTTCCTATCAAAATTCCTTACACAAATGATACAAGAGGACCTGAGGAGGATGAACCAGTATTTTACGAATACGACAGCAATCAAAACGCAACCAATGACCAATGGTTCAGCCCTCAGCCAGGAGAACGAGTTCAAGATAACAGAAAACACAACAAAGAAAGTGGCAGGAGCTATAGACATGGCTACCCTGAGCCATACGGATATCTAAATGGTGATGGAGCACGCAGGAACAGGCCAGCCATGGTAAGCAGCCAGTACGCTAGCGGCACTTATTTGTAAATGACTGGATTAGAAGTGGAACAATCACTGAGCGCTGAAGGTCCTCATTATTTCGGTTTCGTAACAGTGGATCATGCTTTAGATCATTTTCTAAGTACATAGCAGACAACATAAAACCTGGACAAAAGATTAGGTCCAATTGAGCTGATAAAGAGCTTTTCCTTATTATCAAGGATTAGAAGTGGAACAATCATTGAACGCTGAAGGTCATCATTATTTCGGTTTCGTAACACTAGATCATGCTTTAGATCATTTTATAAGTAAATAGCTGATAACACAAAACCTGGACAAAAGACTAGGTCCAATTGAGCTGATCGAGAGCTTATCCTTATTATCAAGGTATAGTAATTCCTATTCAGTCAGTCAAAAAATTGGTTTAGATCGGTCGAATGAATCAAGGAAGACTAACGGTGAAAGGAAAAAGTTGATAACTTTGCTAGGTATCAGAAATGGAAAGTAAGAGAGATTTACAAATGGAATGATAAAATGGAAAAAGAAGAAAAAGAGCAGTAACGGCTTTTCCGTTCTTTGCGGTGAAAAGAAAGCGAGCATAGTTCTTCATTTTGGGTATATCGCGAATCTTCTCAAGTAGTTGTATTTGCTGTGTAGGTTTTTTAAGGTAGCGAGTGACTTGTTTCCAGTCGGCTATTAAAGTGAGAGTAATTTTTTCCCTTCTATTTGAAGCTAAAGCTGCGCTGCTCTTCGATATAAAATTAAGTTTTTCGACCATCTTTATTTAGACAAATGCCTCTTGAAATTTTTTAAAATTGTTTTTTATGAAACGGCTTTATTTGCCATCTTGTTCTTGTATACTCACCTTAATTTTATAACCACTGAAGCATAAATCTCCCAATTTTTAGCTTGTTATTGCTTCATTCAAGATTTAAAATGGCGTTCAATCTTGAGGTATAACATTCAAATTTTAACTATCAATTCCGAGAAACAATTTTTGTCAGTAAGGACAATAAACACTTCATGTTATAGGGGATTTCAACACAATCTTCTTAGGTCCAGAGAAGATTAGTGAGCGATTAGTTGTGACAATGGTGTGATATCCAGTTGACAGTGTAACATGCCTCTGAAGGCAAAGTGAGTTCGTGCGGAGTGGAACGACAAGGAACTTATAACCGATAATAGCAAGCACTTTATTGTTAAGAATCTTATTTTACAAAATTATTTTTTACGTAATAAATTTACGGGAAATTTTTGTACTCATTTGCGTGAGTGGTAAACAATCATCCTCCCTGTACCATTTCTGAGGAACCAACGCGTGTTTTAGTCTCTTGATCCGTATATTGGCTCAGCCAATAGTACATAGGGCTCGGTCCCAACGCCTTCAGTCCTTACTAAGGCGAATGGGGAATTGGAGAAAATCTACTTGATGTTGGGCTGCGCAAAACACTTTTTGACCCAGTTCTTTCCGACTATGATCGGTTTCACGGCTACTTCTCTGTTTCACAATCAAATATTTGATCTAAAACTTTATCGAAATGAAAGTCATTCCGACAAAATAAGGGTTTGCATCTTTGCAACCTTATTTCTGATGGAAAAAAAAGAGGGCACAACATTTCACAAGCCAGACGGAACCCCGGAACAACTAACCTAACACTAATTGATCTTTGATTTTATTAGGAACAAACATTGGCTTAGCCCCTAAGATGTCAGACTTAGGGTCAAGGAGTGACTTATCTTTGCCTGAGTTTTCTTCTGATGTTTTTAGTACTGGCCCCATGGCTGCCAAGGCAGCTTTTAAATCTGGTTTGCCTAAATTAATGGCATCGTCATTTTTCTTGACTTCTGGAAATGATACATCGGCAGTTCCATTATTGTTGCCTGGTTTTGAACCTTTCTCTGTAAGGTCTGACCGGTTTTTATTAAGGAGCACTTGAGGTTTTGTGATGGATGAATTCGACTTTGTAGATGATAATGTTTTTCTGGCACCATTTACTACTGGACTTGGAACCATCTTCCGTTTCTTCCAACCAATAGTATATCCCTTTTCCAAGCGATACTTGATGAGCCATTGTTGTAAAGGGGCAAAATACTCCAATATGGCGCTGGCTGTCATCTCGCGCTCGCCTGTTAAGTGGTAAAGGGTCTGGGGCCATGGGCGGCTACGTCCGGCGGCGAGCATCTCTCTTCAGAGAGGGATAAAAATGATAAGCAGATCGAGCGGTACTGTTGTAAATTTAGTATGGATTAAATCTTAAGTTTAATCTTACATCGACACAGAGCCCAATCAACATCAGAAATCAGCTCTTATTACAAATTTCCTCAAAATATGGTGAATTTATTCATCTCAAAAAGTCCTGAAGGTAATCAATGTCTTAGGCGTCTAGATATCTAACATCTGACATCTGTGTTTTGGGAATCGAATTTCGAAGGAAACTTGAAATTTTGAGGATATTATTTGAATTTAAAAAACATTAGGGTATATCCCTTCGTTATGCCACCAAATTGAGAGTTCTGTTTTCTGTAGATCCTCTATCATTGTGTTTTCATACTGGACTAACTTATGAATTGACGGACTGTACCTGAATTTTTGGCCTGCTTCTTTTGACTTGTAGATTGAACATTCATGTAGACTCCCTTCGTGCTTAGCAATTTTACAAAGAGAGCGGTGGAATTGAAATTGCAGGATCAGTGACACGAAATAGCTGTATACAAAAATAGCAAAATAATAGATTTAGCATAAAAAATGAAACAATCATTTAAATGTTACCTCAAATAAGCTGCCTCGATGAAAAGTCGCTGTTTGCCGGACTTTTGGTTAGCGCTCGATGTGCGTTTATTAGAAATAACCTGGCGGCCGAGAACTGCAACTGGTTACCTTTCGGTCACAGCTAGTAGCGACTGAAACTCAGTAGCCTTTTCCTTAAAAACTAAAGCTGTTGACAATTTTCAGTTAATTTAGAGCGTTTCGAATCACAGCTCAGATGACAGCTCTGACGAAGGGTTAACGTTCGAAACTTTAGCTTTAGAAAAAAATCACATTATCAATTCAGTTGGTAAACCGGGTTTGGATTGGTTTTGCATCACTTCGCTCCGTAATTGATCTAAAAAACTCGAGCCATTCTCTCGATCAATCAAATACAAAACCAAAACCAACCACGACTCGGTCACCCGCGTTTTCCCCCGCTTTAGACAGTTAAGCTGCTCGTGACATTTTCCTCTGTTCTGACTGGTTGTAGTGATCACTTTCAGTTTTGGCTTTTGAGGCTGAACTATGATGCATCCTATATATTAATTGTGCATCACCTGATGTAAGGGTAATTGGCTCCCACGTGATACTTAGCCCCCGGGTCAAAGTCCTTCTCCGTCCGAGGGACTGGTGACATGACACCTTGGTAATGCATACGCAATCGCCACCATTCTGAATTGTAGTTTGAAGGTGTGATCCTTCCGGAGAACACCTTCCATCTCCACTGGTCGACAAGTAATGTGAAAGGAAGGGGAGCTACACGGCGTAATGCTTGCATCATCAAAAAGTTTACGTCCGCCTCTGCAATAACAACGTTAACAAATACTCATGTAGGTTTTCACAGCATGTTGACGACAGGGAAGTTAAGTGTCTTTAGAATTTTCTTTTTCAGACGAAATGATAAATTTCCTCAGGAACATATTTATAGTGCCTGTTAGCTTATTCTTGGATAGCAGCTAAGTTTAATAAAAGCATGGGAAATTAAATCAATAATGACTCCAAGGGTTAAATACACGTCCAATACAACGCAGATCACTCTGGGTTTAAGCCAAGATCACTCTGCTTCAAGCCCCTCTGCCTCTTTCATATCTAACCTAAAGAGTTCAAAGAACTTGCTTGCCTGTATCATTTCCAACCGTGTACAGTAGTCCCACGGACTTAAGATGCTTTGGGTTTTCCACAGAGAGTGCAATTGTATCTCCTATAGCCTCATGAAATCCCGGATTGGCACCACTTCTGTAGGCATACGGGAGGTCTTTGTATGCGAGATCATATTCACAATGTCCCATCTCATGGTGAATTGTTATCAAATGTTCCTGAGTCATTCCGGTGCACATCTTTATTCTGTAGTAACAAAATTCATTCACCTATTTTAAATCTGTTTAGGTTTGTTAAGTAAAAAGTAAACAACGATCTGCTCGAAACCAAAACACATCAATCCATCGGTTAAACAAGGATATCAATTTATTGATTCATCAAGTACTTCCCTTCTTCATATATTCATTTATGAAGTCATCCATTCACTCGCCCACTCGCCCACTCGCCCACTCGCCCTCTCGCCCGCTTGCTCATTCGTTCATTTGTTCATTCTGTATTTCAGTCAGTCAGAAAGAAATCACTGACGTAGTCGGTTCGTTAGTACCTTAGGCAGCCGGTCAGTGAATGTGTGAATAAGTCTGTGAATGAGTCAGTCAGTCAGTCTGTCAGTCATTAAGTCAGTCAGCCAGTCAGTCAGTCAGTCAGTCAGTCAGCTATCTGGTCAGTCAAGTTTGACTGGAAGAAACTTATTTTGTTTCGCCTTACCGAACATCTCCTTTGCAGAAGTCCCAGGCCGATGGGTGACAGACCATCTGTTTTCCTTTAGGTTTTCTGATAACGGATTTATTCCAAAACGTCTGCGGCATTGGATCTAGACCTAAGGAAACAAAAAACGACTGCGCAAGTTTAAACATCTTTTTGGGAGTGTACTGCTGCTTGATTAAGTTCGGTGTAACATCCAGTGATGGAACTTTTGGAAAGGGCTTTACAATGTCGTAGATTAAACTCCATTCCTGGGCCCACATGTTCCCTAAGAGATGGGCCTGGATGCTCCCATTCACCGGCACTTGAGGATACTTCTCGCGTAATTTGTACCTCACATAAGCATGCAGTTCCTGGTACAACATCCTGACTTCATTCCACAACCTCTTGATAGCTGTTTGAAAGTCATTTCCCATTTCATATTCGCTTCGTTGAAAATTTCCGTAGTCTCCCCATTCATGTTCACGAGCTCCAGAATTTAGAAGGACGACAAGTTTTTCGTAAAGCGGTCTCATCGGAGGACCAACCTTGTCTCGCCAGCTTTTCCAACCCCATAACAACTCATCGTAATCACGTGACTTCGCCATTAAATCATTGAGGTCTGGATCGAGTTCGAAGCAACGGGTTTTGTTGGTATATTCATTTTTCGTACATAATTTTCCACTGCTATAAATATTAGTCATATTTGAAATAAGGTCATCTATTGACTTCATGTCTGTTGGTGATTTAGGAAGGGCGTTACGGCGAATTATCCTAATTTGGCGTGCCATATCGTTTGATAAGTCGACATCTTTAATGAGAGAAGCATTTTTGCTGGCAGTCACACTGAACGCTTTAGCGAAAGTCGCGTTGAAAACGGAGAGTTTCCTGTTGTTCTCGGTTAAGTCCGTTTCATAATTCCAAGCGGCTTCGCTCTCCCCAGAGTAAATCTTTGTTGCCTGAACTTCATAGTTCTTTAAGAATCCCAGCGCTATGTCCGTGTAGTTCTTGAATTTTGTTGTAGAATTTTGTTGGTTAGTGCACAAGCAGACTTGACTCCATAATAGAAAGACCAAGGGATAAATAATCCATGAATCCATTATCATCGTTCTTCGCACCGCACATCCAAGTCATATTTCCTGTGTAAAGGAAGGGACATTGTAAATATTAAGGAAATAAAGGCGGCTTTTTCTAAACAAACTAATCTCTTGCCGAGATCAAGTCGGTCCGTTTAGTGACGTGATCTGACGATGGTAATAAATTATGCAGCAGGTGGTTGGTAGGATAAATTTAAACGAACAGGTAATATGTTTTCGTTGTAGTCTGGTGTTTTGGTAAATTATATTCGTCTTAAGTAATTACTGTGAGACGAGTGTTTATAAAACGATTGGTTTAAATTCACACACAAAGCAGTGATTTGTCAAACAACTTTCCGTGAGTGTTGATTAGGAAGTTATCTAAACAAGTTATACGCGATTTATTACTTTAAGCATTAATAAATTACTTGTTAACAGCTTTAAGTTCGTTCGTTTGATAGATAGTTATAAAGCTTTCTTCGTTCCTCGTAAAATGAGCACTTAAAAAGGAGCTCATAATGTGAAATACCAGTAGTCTCAAAAAGTATTCTTCTTTTCAAGGACAACGGTAAGTAAAACTGTCATATCCGTAAGTTTCGTTTAGGATGTACGATCGAGAAGCACATAGTTTTAATTAGTCCGTAATTAGGGTTAGTTGTGATGTATTGATGGCATGGGCCCTGCGCAGTGAAAGAGAGACATTTGGCCCAGGGAAACTTATATTCACTCCTAATTTATGTAAGGTAGACCGTAAAGTTCTACATAAGTAAACCACGAAAGAGTCACCATTCATAAATGAATAAAGGGGGTAAGTTTCTGGAGAAACTGTGGTGCTGCGTCGGTAGGAGAGTATAGCAAGTAATGAAGTGTTAATAACTGAATTGAAAACGTAAATTAGCCACCGTAAAGAGTAAAAAAGCTGACGTTTTGGGCGTTAGCCCTTCGTCAGTGCGATCGCTCTGACAAAGGACTAACGCTTGAAACGTACGGGCCTGAATTTTTTTCAGGTCTTATTTCAACTACTAGTTCGGTAGTGTCCATAGCTGCGAGGATCGCTTATTCCTGTTTCTTCACCGCAGAGCACATATATGATTTTCATATATAACCCACCCAAAGTTTCTAACATTGCAACAATGCACCGAACGATCTTCCAACTTTACTTCCACAGAAGACAGATTAAAAATGTTATTGCCGACAGCTTTATTCATGGATTATTACGTTGATCATTTTGAAAATTTTTTAATTGAGAGCCGAAAGAATTACTAAATTGTATTTTTTTTTCCTTCACGAGGCTCTGTGATTGGTCGACAAAACTAGCGCCTTCTTCTCACCTAGTCAAACCACCATATGACCATTACACCACATAGTTGTTTTTTCAAGAAAATCTACCGCTGGTCAGAAGGAACGTTAGCTCTGAGATCAACGCATGACGTGTCGTGTTGTCGTTAAGGCTATCGCCACTGTAGCGTGACAGAGGACCAGAGAACTTTGTCGAACAATTTACTGACGATCTCTCAACGTCTTCTTTTGGTTTGTTTCCTAACCAAGTATGAGGCAGCTACCAGGAAAAGCGTCCAAAGAAACAAGGAGAATGAAGAGGGAGAGAAAACATGGAAATGCAGAGGGACATCAAAAGGTTTTAACAGTGGCGTTGCCTGTTTTACTTGGGTTGTTTGCATTGCTGATCGCCTACGTCTACACAACAGCGAGCAAGAACTAATAAACTGAGAAAACTGAACCAAGACTTCGACAATAGAATCAAATATCGATACAGCTCATGGATAAAGATACTTACACTGCTGTGACGTTTTTTAAAAACTTTCTGGTTAAGCGTTATGGTCAAGTGGCTTTATACGTTCAAATGAACAGGAAAACATTTATTTTCAATCAGGCGATAAAAGAGCAGACTCTTCCTTCTGTGGATTAGAGACTTGCTTTATTTTTTTGTAAGAATAACTAGTTCAATTCTGTAACACAATCGAGCTGGTAAAAGGTAATGAAGGAAAACTTCCTTTTCAGTAATGAAAGTCATTTGAACAGAATTAAGACATTAAAAGTTATCAATATTTATAGGTTGGCTCTGAAATAAATCTAGTTTCTAGAATACACTTAAAACATCTGGAACAGGTGCAATTTATTTTCAGTGCTAGCCAAACATAGGAGTTGTATCGTACAGTATGGTGACATGGTAGTTACTTAGAAACTTTTTTAAAATTCGTGATTTGAAATTTGATTTTCCGTGAACGATGTTTTTCTGACTTCACGATATTGCTACGTTTCAATTGCGTAATAATTTTTATAGTATTGTATTATGTGGGTTTCTTGGCAATATTTAATTTATTTTTGTGACTTGGTTCAACCGTCGGTTGAAGTAAACGGTAAAAAGGCTTTGTACTTTTATACAAACCAAATTTGCATGAAAATGGACAAATTCAACATCACCCTTCATGACTTGCTGAAGGTGCTACAAATCTTCTTCTTTGAGTTTTATTTTATTGGCTCGACACTCGGCTTATTTGAGTAGCTCTGAAACTCATTATACCGTAACTCAACTCATTCGGTACCAGATCGAACCCACAAGATCTACGCCTAATATTTTTCTTTTCGATCAGAAAAGTAATACTTTTCGCTGTTCCTCGTTTGACAAATTCATGTTATAGTAGGAAAGAAAAAGAATGGATATTTTATACTGGGGTTCATACCAAGCACTGAGTCACGGTGTCATAATTACGTGACATGCAATCGCGATTACGGTTGAAAGACTGGAACCGATTATTCCAAAATCCGCCAAAACTTTGACGTTAATTTTCGCTTCCTCGGTTGATGCCTGAGACAGTTGAATTATTTATTGGGGTCGTATAGACTATAACATAATTTCTGAGAATAATGATGAGCTCCGTAGCACGAAGAGGTCGTGGTATTTTGGTGGTGTTCGAAGGCTGCGATCGAAGTGGGAAATCGACACAGTGTAGAATGCTTGTAGATTACTTGAAATCGATTGGAAGAGATGTAGCTCATTTGCGTTTTCCAGGTAAATTAAAGGCTATCTCTTCCTTTGAGAAATATTTTCGGTAATATGTTGTATTGACATGAAACTAGGAAATTTGCTTCTTCTCCACTGATAACACAATGATTTCTCAAACACCATTTATATCCTTACGATCACGTTTGTGGCTTATACTGGTTAATGAAGGCAGTTGCCTATGTGCAGTGTCTCTTGATGCTTCATTTCTCAAACCACAATCCTACCATGACGATCTGATTTTTAATTCTCCCTTTTAGTTACTTCACACGGCCTTATAAATAAGTATAGGGAATTTGGTGATACATCAGTGTCGTCGTGTTAAGTGTGTCAATTCTCATCACATGTTTACAAAATAGTGTATTTAGAGTTTAAGAAGAAGCTACATGTTTATTTCTTGTGGAAGTAATGTATTCTTGGCTTTTCTTGTCTTGCAATGTATCCTAGAGTGTTTTGTTTGTCTACAGACAGAACAACGGCCATAGGACAATCTATTAATGATTATCTTCAAGGAACAACAGAGTTAGAAGATCATGCCATTCATTTACTGTTCTCTGCCAACAGATGGGAGTCGGTGTAGGTGACATCTACTAAGTCCAACAATCTTTATTTGCTTTTTTTCAATTCAAAAATTATTGACATAATTTGACTTTTACATTCTTAGTATTCAAAGGGATTGATTATGTATCCACCACAAGATGAGATGGAACGAGATGGAGGGAGAGATGCATGCACCTTTAGATCTCCTTGATGTCCTCTTTCCACTTACATTTGGGTCTATGGTTGCTGGGTGGGAGGGGGGGGTGTGAACTGGTGTAGTGGGGTATCTCCTAGGGCAGAGAGCAGAGGGTTGTTGGTGGGGCTCTTCCAAATTAGGTGACATGTTAAGATATGATAGCTGAGATGTGAAAGGTTTTTAATTCTGACCACATCTGTGTGACTTCATATAGAGCTAGTCTTGCACAAGATCTAGCGAGAAAATAACCTTGTAGGGAATTATCTACCCATCCAAGATTGTTACCTTGAAGGATTGAGGATTAATTTAAACCTTTAAAGGTCTTCATTCACATTCCCTGAATGACTTGCTCTTTTTTGTGGCAAAATCCTCTCCTTTGAGAAGCTTTCCATATTTCAATTACAATAAAGAAGGGGGAGGGGGTTCTTGATCATGTTTCACACACACATTTTAGGAAAATCATGCATCACAGATTTGAAAAGAAAAATTTTGCCTTACCTAGTCTTTTTTGCTTAATCAGAGGTGATTTATAATCCCTTTGCTACCCTCAATAAATTCTAGAGAAATTATTACACAATTTTATTTTATTTATTTATATTTATCAAAGTATTTTTGACAACTTTTCTCCGGTTTCAGACCAAGAATAAAGCAACTATTAGACAATGGAACCTTTGTAGTTGTGGATCGTTATGCTTTTTCAGGAGTTGCTTTTACAGCAGCCAAGGTGGGAGGATATTGCAAAATACCTGCTACTTTTCCTTATATATTTTGTAGACTTAAACTTTTTCTGTACTTTGTAATTTATATAAACCATGGTACTTCTTATTTATTGATCAGAGTTTTTGCTCATAGCTTTAGAAAAGTCTAACATTGGTTTGCTTTGATAGGGCTACGATGTGACGTGGTGTAAGAATCCTGATCGGGGCTTGCCAGATCCTGATTTAATATTCTATTTAGACATCTCAACAAAAGATGCACAAACTAGAGGATCTTATGGGGAGGAAAGATATGAGAAGGCTGAATTCCAAGAACGAGTCGCTGAGATTTATGAACAACTTAAAAGTAATGACTGGAAGGTAAATACCACCAAGCTCTGGTTCCATGGATGGTTCAGGTTTTGCAAAAATAAGACAAAGGAACTCTATTTCCTCAACACTTGAACTAAGCTTATCTCTTCTGGTCCCACACAACAACTAAATGCTCCACTTGTGAATTATATGCACAGTTAAGTTAGGTCAATTATATTACCTATGGAGCATGCTTTTGCAATATTACATAGTAGATGAAAATGTATTCAGAGGAGGAGACAATAGAATTTTCTGATGTTCTCCTGGACCCCCTTTAAACAATTCCCTCAAATCCCTCTTATGCATTTTTGCTGAAAGACAATTCCTGGTACCCTGATCTTCACTACTAACATTTTTGAACTGTAAGTAAAAATGTTTTGCCCTGGGGAGATTTTTTTATGGACTTATCACGCTGAGATGATCTGATCAAGACTTCAAAGCCCAGTGGAATTTAAATGTAGTATGTGATGGCAAAGATGGAATATTAGTAAAAATAGTGAGGTTTTTATTGAGTTTGTTTTGACCATAAATTTGGTGATAAAGATACCCTTGATTGAAAGGCTCCAGTGGTTCTGTCTAAATCTGGATGGAAAGAAAAATAAAAGGGACAAGCATAATCATTATTTAGTGCTTCAGTTGACATCTGTAATTTTTTTGTAACTTTTATTTTACATATTGAGCTTAACTAACTTACAACGGGTGACAGAAGGATTGAATAACATACATGAGTAGATACTCTCTACTCTTTTTATTTCCAAGAGGCAGAGAAGTAACATCTTGTTTTCTTTTGTTTCTCCGGTTTTTGTTATGTACAGGTGGTAGACGCTATGAAAGACAAAAATGAAATTCATGAGGAGATACGGAATACTCTTCTTGAACTTGAAGAACAATTCAGCAAGACACCATTGAAACGTCTTTGGACAAATGAAAGCTGATTGCTGGCAACTAATTTATATCGATGTTGTCTTGAAGAACTTGGAGAAGAAATGACTCTAAGGATCAAAATAGATAAGGATATCTGTGGGAGATACCTGTGAAATTCTTGGTTTGATAATTGAACGCACGTGAATAAATTGAGGAAGAAAAATTGTGTGTGAAACGGATAAGAGAAACTGTCCCATAGTTAACCTCAATCTGGGGAGTTGAAGTGTTTGGTTCCCAGGCTTCCCCTGCAACGAAAAACAACTAGGCGTCATAAACGGATTTGCTCTCTGCTCTCAGTTATGAACGCGGCTTTCCCGCTCGTTAACCCTTTTACATTATTATGCACATTCTCCTTACTTTTCTCTAGACATTTCCTAGAGTGGCGACGAGGAGAATTTGTGTAACAATCAAGAGCTTTTTTTCTTTTTTTTTTTTTTTCTTCTTCCGTAATCTTGATGTTTGATTCAGGAGTGACCTTGTAGGGAGAAGTTTGATCCAAGTCACTCTCAGGGGTCGAATGGTCAAAAAGGAATACTTCTCGTGAATCGGTACAATCGGGGTAACTGCCCGTCACACTTCCTACCAGAGAAACACAAGAAATTGGACCCGAATAGGAGTTCCTCCGCTAAATTAGCTCAAATTGTCATTTTGCTCGGAAATTCCGAATTTTAACGGAACGATGCCTCTAGCAGATGAACTGCAATGTCGTAACCTTTTCATTTTTTTTTTCGTCGGTAGAATTTTAATGATATTTGAATTATCTTAAGGATGGGTCTTGTGTGCACTTGGGAGAAACGTAACTAGTATAACTTTATGTATCAGGAATTAACTCCAAGTCGCTTTTAAAACAATTTTCTCTCTAAAATAGTTCAAATTTTCCCTATTTTATCCTTTTAAATCTAATTTTTCACGCTTTCGACTCCCATGTATTTTCCACCACGCGCCATTAAATTCAAGCTCTTGAAGAGCCGAAAGCTAACTTTAACCGGAGAACTGTAAGATGATCATCAAACTTGGTTACTCTTCTTTTTCTTTTCTCGAGTATGTTATCAGCTATTTGGGATCATGATTCGAATTATTGTACTCTTAACCAAGTATAGTATATCTGTGTTTTTTATAAAGCCTAGATCAGCCAAATAGCGTCTATAAGATTTATTACATGTCAAGAGCGTCGCACATCTCCCTAACAACTTAATCATGATAAATCTTGTCGAAAGAATGAAATATACTACCCACGATGATTGCGATAAACAGAAAATATTCACGGCTTATAACTTGTGCCGCCCTCCTGACAGACTGGAGCACGACTTGGCGTCAATTGGATTCAGACAGACCAAACACATATGAACCAATGTGTAAAAATACTTGTAAACTCGGACAGTTCGTGTGAGGCATCTAAAAACATTGTGATAGCATAGATAAAACGTCTTAAACTATTTAAGACTAAAACGGAAAATTGTTTAAAAACTAACATTTTATTTTTGTTGCGGGCGGAAAAAACGTGACCTCGTTGTACAACTGATCATATCTTTTTTCCTCGATAAATGTGAGCAAGAACAGTACTTTCGTGAAAAAAAAATTTATCAAAACAATTAGATGTTTGTCCCACAAACTTGTTTGTTTAAGTTGTACCAGCACGTTTCCTCAACGAGTAGATTGCTTTAGAAGTGGGGATTGTTTTCAAGAGTGCAGGGACAAATAAACACGATTGACCATTAGGCTGATCAAATGAGACTAAAAAGGTCAGCGCATCTCCATACGTAAATCTAATGAAACACATGATCTTAGTTCAACGACAATCATGTGTTCTGTTGCACCAGACATTCATCTATTAATTGAGCAGCTTGTAGTCATGATTGAATTGAAAACTCAGGTGGAGCTTACAAATAATAAAGTTGAAATGAATTCGGGTTTGCCACGCGTCAATCCTTTGGTGGCCTGTTTGAAAAGTGATTTAAATACACAGTCAAAACACACGGAAGAACTGAACAAACCACATCTTGACCCGCAGTTGGGGGGAAGCAACATTCTATGTTGTCAAAGAGAGCGCAGCGCATTATGGCGATAAAGAAATTCAGGTCTACAACAATACTGTAAAGGAACCAGTCAAGTGCTTTGAAAAAGGACTCTGGCTGACGGCTAACTTCAGTACTTACGTCATAAAGCTAACTTTTAAAGCGCGGATTTTATTCAACTTAAGAAGAGTGCTGAAATGTTGGCTATCACAGTACGTGTGATATGCCAATGATCTAAGAGTTTTAAATCCACACTGTTTTTATCTCAGAAACTTGAACCTGGCCCTACAGATCATGTAATAAGACGATCTCGCAAATCGCGTTTGTTTAAGTCAGTCTTTTTGGAGATGAGAGTCATAAGGGTATCCTGTGGGTTCTACCCCCCAATGTAAGTTCCCAATATAACATCAGATAATATGCTATTGAGTGTCGACATGTATTTCCGTCCCACCCTAGGTTACTCAGTAACTGGTCCTTAAGTCAAACATCGTTATAAAATTCACAGACACAGGATACGTCTCTCATCACTATCTTTATTTGTATTGTGTTTTACAAGCTTGGATGTGAGCCTGAAAAAATAGATTGAAAAATAAATTACTTTCCTTCTTTGAAAATGAACATCTATGTTATTCTTTAAGACACTCTTACCGCGAACGATGATATCCATTTTATTTTTGTAAATATGATTCCACACAAATTAGGCATAGGAATTTACAATAAACGTGATTTGAATTAACACATAACTAATCGAGCGGGCATCATTTCCACTAGGACAGTCGCGGCGAGTTTCATCTTTGTGTGCGAGAATTAAAACGAAACTAATATTGCTAGATTTCCTTTGAATTAAGAAGTAACATTTCGGATTTTTCTTGCTTTTAAATAGTGGTCGAAGTAAAACAAACGATTTCCGTTTACGTAAAAAATCGTTACATCATATCTTATGTCTCATATGCCCTTCAGTAGAGTTCCAACTGAATAATAAAGGAAACTTGTGAGAACAGCACTGGATCTGTCCCGTTTACTCACAATGTCTTATTCTCAGATTTGTCAGTGTTAAATTTAGTTCGAGGGCTCTATTTTCACACCCAAAGAATTCGATGCACTAGGATTTTTTGTTGATTGCTGAGACAACGCAAGCCATGGCTGAATGTTTCTAGAAGCGTTAGCATTGTTCAATTGTAGTTCCGCCTGTGAGATGAACGCCATGCTGTCGTTACTGTCCAATGAAAGATCGCCATTAGCCGCCTTTAAGTGCATCTTTAAATGCTTTCTAAGAGAACTGGGGTGTGTGTAGCTTTTCCCACATCCCGGCGCTCTGCAAAGGTACGGTTTGTCAGCAGTGTGAACGTGCGAATGCTTTTTCCGATCGCTCGAGTTGGCAAAGCGACGATTGCATCCAGGAAATTCACACACGAACGGTTTCTCCCCAGTATGGGTGCGCTTATGTATTTTGAGATTTTCCGAGCGAGCAAACGTTTTACCGCAGTTTGCGAAAGGGCACGAAAATGGCTTCTCTCCAGTGTGGACCCGAATGTGGTTGATAAGCTTGTATTTGGCTTTAAACGGCTTGCCTTCCCTGTGACAATCGCTCCATAGACAAACGTGGGAGGAATTTCCATCGCTCCCTCCAACGTGTTCCAAAGAAAGATGTTTTACCAGATCTTGAATAGACTGATAATTCTTATCGCAAGGAACAGATATTTTGTTCCGCAAAAGAGTCCATCTGCACACAAACTCCTGCTTTTCCTGAGGTCTTATATAACGGAAGAACGCGCCGTTAGATGAGAGTTCCATGGACGGTACAACGTTATTGGGTGAGGGAACAAAATTAGCTTTCATTGCATTTAGCGGGCTTGGACGAGGCAATGCAATACTTCCTTGAGGGTCACCGATATTCACCGTTACACGAGAGGTCTCTGTTGACGAATCACCGCTACTGTTGCTGCTTTCAGATGCTGGTGACGCTTGAACGTTCGAGAGACTTGAGTTGGTGAAACTGGCGGCGTGTTGCGCATTTTGTCCAAACGTTTGCGACGGCAGCGGTGGAGCCGTGGTGCTTGAAAAACTCGGGATATTTATGGCATGGAGCGCAGCGTTGCTTGTTGTGAAGATCGTTTGTTGAAACGCAGAAGGGGGCGGTGGTGGAACAACAAGATTCGCCGACGAAGTTGTCACGTCCGCGGAGATGGTGTGAGTTGGTAACGATACCGAGGGAAGCGTTACTGTGTGTTCACGGCGTAGCAGGAACTCTCTTCCACGGGCAGCCAACGTCGAATACGCCGCTGGGACAGGATAATTGGTCTGCAGGTTAAATGCCCCTTGAGCGGTACCCCCTGATAGTGTGTGGATAAAATCGTGCGCGCCCGTCCTCAAGCTTGGCAAATGCATGGGAGACTCAGCGTACGTAAAACCATGGCTTGGGTCTTGAGTAATTTCTACGTTATCAGGAATTACAGATCTCTGAAGGCCAAACGGAGGTATGGAGGAACTATGGCTCGTCAAACATTCATAAATACTCGGATAATTTCGCGTTAGCGGTCCTGCTTCCATTTTTCTCACGCGCGTGATTAGCACGAGTTAATAAGAAAAAACTTCCAAATCTGCACTCAACCAAGACTGTTGACTTCTTCACACGACCCAGCAATGAAAACTACTCGCTATACACATGAAGCCATTGGGGGTAAATTGATGTTTATCTGCCATTGGCTGGCGATTGTATCGACTGACAGCGCGACAATAGACCCAACCAATCAGCGATCTCGTTGCGTTATATGCGGCACTAATCTCGGACCATTACAGTACAGGCGTGGTAATGACTAGCTTATGGTTTCCACACGTATGATCGATTTAAGATCTGATAAAAAAAAAGAACGAAACAAAACATTACCGCTTAAGAGGAGTAGGATCATTGGCAAATGCTCCTTGAACCTTAACTTCGTATGCCATATTATTTGTTTTATTCCCTGGGGGCTATGTAATATAGCTTCCGAAGCAACTTGTTGAAATATCCGGACCGTGTCAAACACATGATAACCAGGCCGAAAACAAAACATGGCCTTTTCCATGATTGAATGATTTTAACAAGAAACGCTCGCTAAATCTCTTCCAAACTTGATTCGGTCTCGGTAAAAAGGGTTTATCCGACTAA